GGTTAGGGAGAATCGAATGCTTGAAGTTGGCAAAAACTCACTTTGTATCCATGGCAAATTCATGTTCACTCAAGTTGCATTTTCAAACCAGCATGCCTTACACTAGTTTTCAGGCTTCTAAACCACTTCACACTCCATAATTTAATGTAAATCCATTGAGCTAATATATTGTCTTGGTCATTAGGGTATTGTACACAAGTTTAATCCCTAAATGGTAAAAGGCACATTTCCATTTTTGCAAAAGGTTGCTTTATGTCAAACAACTAATCCTTGAGCATAGAGCCAAATCTCTTGCAGCTAAACAAATCCACTAATTAGAGGGGCCAAGAGGATTGTATACAGGGTGATAAGATGGCCTGTACAGGACTGTAACCTCACTTCCACTTTCTTGCTTCAAAAACAAGAAACTTGTCCAAATCCTTAGACTTGAAAAACCAGCCAATGTTAACTTACACAAACACTTCAAACATCTTTCTCACAACCCTTTGAGCTAGAAACACGAGTGCTTGAGCCCCAAAACACCCCATAGCCAGAAATCACACTTCTTTGGCAAAACAGGGCAGGTGTTGCAACTTGAGTTCCCCAGCTCATTTGGCTCGTGCATTTTGCCCCGTTTTGCTTCAAACACTTTCCATTCAACTCACTCAAGTTATCTCAAACCTCCATTACCAACTGTAACTCCATTTACAGTGTTCACCATTTTCATTTCAAGCTTGTGCATGTTGAGTTCTATAGGCTGATTCAAGGACATTCAAGGCAAGCTAGCTATTGGAAAAGGTCAATTGGAGTTCAAGCAAGCTACCAGACATCTCAAAACTTGTTGAGAAGCACAACATTGCCCTACACGAATCCCACTGAAACAGGTTTTTCTTCACTTTCCATCTCTCTATTTAGGAACGTTTAGCCTTAAGTTTATGAATAAAACATGTAGTGTTCATTGCCAGGAAGCCATACATATGCTCAGTTTTCATTTATATTAAGTGTGCTAGGAGAATTTCATCCATGAACATGCTGAAAAAAACTAGGTCAGATTTTAGGGCCAGAGAAATTCTCTATGGTCTTTGAGAGTTAGGATTAGTTGTTTATATGGTTAGAATCGTATTGAAATTCTCTACAAGTTTGATGTTGTGTGTTTTTGCAAAAGATCACGTATACAGGATCTAGCATTTGAACCAGGGCACGCGCGCGTTTTTCAGTCTGAAGGTTGAAGATGAAGCTGGCTTGGCCTGGGCTTGGCCTGGCTTGCTTCTAACACCTCCCATTTTCATTTTTGCACCCCTTGGCCCATTTTCTTGTATTTTTACATTTTTGCATTTTTGTTTTCTTTTCTGATTTTGTTTATTTTTTTCCAAGTATAAAAAATATTTTCATATTTTTTTATATTTATTTGGCATTTTATTTTAATTTTTCTAATATAGAAAACATTTTAAAATATTTTTATACTATTTATTCAAACTTAGAAATAATATGTAAATCATACTTTTATTTTTATTTCTTATTTTTATTCATACTAAAAATATTTTCCTAAATATATTTTATTTTTGTACATATTTTACTTTATATTATACATATTTAATATATATATAAAAGTATATACTTTTTATTTTATTAAATACTCTAGAATAAAAAAGTATAAAATATTACATTTTTATTATTACTTATACTAAAAAAAATACTTTTTCTAAGTATATTTCATTTTGTACATATTAATATATTTTAGTGTATATAAATAATATAATATGTTTATTTTCTTAAAGAAATTAGGGTTTTACCCTTAGACAACTAAAATAAACCTTTTATTTATTTCTTTATTTTTTTGCATTAAATACTTTTTACATACATAAACAAAAACTTTTCTTTGCATAATTCATATTATTTGGTATATTTATTTATTTTTTCTTATTTAAATATTGCCCATTTAAATATTTACGCATTGTGATTCAATTTGGATGTAATAGTAAATTAGGATTTATATTTCTTGTCAAATACCCCCCATTCAAAATTGTACCCCCATCCCCATAATCATGTTGTAATAGCTTAGAATTTTAAATTCTCGCACTTTATGCTTTCAATTATGCCATGATTAGAGAATTAGGGTTTGTATGCAAAAATCCAAATCAACAAGTAGCTTGACCTAATCAAAGACAAAAATGCATGAAAATCAAACACAATACACACTTGCACCCCTAGGGTTACAATCCACTTGTTGCCTTCAAAAATGGGTCATGATATGTATGTTGGGTACTTTGGCAAAACAAAAGCAAAACTAAAGATCATAGTCCCTTGATGACGCTATCTTGGTTGCCTAAACAAAAATGATCAAGTCCCTCAAGAAAATTGCCAAAGATATTTGACACAATTGCTATCATGGTCTATACGATGACCCGCGCCTGTCCTGTTTAACATCCTAACACAAGGTTATTCACCAAATGTAATGGTGAAACAACCCTGTCAAAAGGGTTAAAAACATTAGGAAAGATCTTTGAGTAAAATAGGGTAGATAGCTCTTAGTTACTTGATCAAAAACTTGCAAAAAACATCCTTGCTATTTTCAAACACACTTCACAACATAATTCGAAAACATTTTCCAAATCAAACTTTCAAACATTGAAATCTTTTCAAAAGACAAAAACATCTTTGTATACATTCAAACAAGAATCATTACAAAGGTTGCCACAACAAAGGCCTTTTTTCAAAACATCTTACAAAACCACACACAAAGCACCATTTCAAACAATTGGAAAAGCAAAGCAAGTGATCTAAACAAGTAACTAAGAGCCCATGGATAACCATAGATGAAAAGGGTGCTTGCACCTTCCCTTTTCGTAATTTACTCCCCGAACCCAAGAAAACATCTCAAAGGTCTTTCCTGTGCTTTTTGACCTTTCCTTAGGGTAAAATAAAAAGTCGGTGGCGACTCTTGCTAAACCGAAACAATTGCGAACATAAACGCAAAACCTCAAGTCAGTTCTTCCACCGTATCACAGGCATGATACCCCCAATTACCATCACTCCCCACATCCATGATTTGTTCAATGTGTTTGTGCATAAAAAGCGGCATCTCGTTAATGTAGATAATCAGTGGTGGTTGTGGTTGTTTTATAATAGGCGGTGTACGAGGTGGTTTTGAAACACGAGCTCCCTTGTTAGCACTTGTTTTGGATTTTGGGGTTGAATAATCCAAGAATATTGAATCAACAACTTCATGGTAATAAGGATTCTGCTTTGTTGAACCATCACCTTGAGAACTTTTCGCTTTTTTGGCGCACCTTTTGTTTTTAGTGGTTGCGATAGAGGTTTCAAATCAGTGGTTTCTAGAAAGGCGATTTTTCTCAAAAGTTATTTGATGTGCAACTTCATAGAGTCATTAGCTTTAGATAATCTATTCATTATCACTTCCAACTCGGTTGTGATGATTATGTTGGATGTACTTTCCTTTGTCGGCCCGTAGTCATCAAAACGGAGTCTTTTCCAATGAGTGCAAACCTCATTCATACGTATGGCAGAATTGAGTTTAATTTTTTTAGAAGTAACACAAGCACATAGAAGCCCGTAAGTCGTCCTAATTGTACACCTACATTTCAAACTATCTGGCTCCGTCGTTTCCGCTTGTTTCGCTTCATAAAAAATGAAATTCAATCCCGCACGAGATATATTATGAACTAATTGTGCATATAGAGGGTTGCCTTTGAAACAGTGTTCTAATACAGTTTTGTTCCTACTAAAAGTTGTTTGAATTTCACTATATTGATTTTGGAACATTTGGTTTACTGTGTCCCATTCTCTACAAAGGTCACCCTTGCTATCACCCAACCACTTCTTTAATGCCGCATGTGCAGATTCCACTCTATTAGTTGTTGTGTTACCCAAATGTCTAACTCGGTCTGTCCAAGCACATACAACTTTCTCTTTCACCTGATCAAGGATAGTAGACTCAGTGTATTTCAAGAAATCGGGATACTCGACACACAAGTTTCTGAAGTGTACCACATTTTCTGGATACAACTCTTTGGTAGTAGAATTAAGAATATCAGTCAATGCACCCATTATCTTCCGAATTTTTGCAACATATTTTCCACTTCGCTCACATGTCATCACAATAAATGGTTGTCTTTTACTAGTCTCATTGTCGGACCTTTCAATCATAATGTCGAACCCAAGTTTGCTAGCTTCCATTCGAATCTATTCAACCATATGTTGACGAGTAGTGAAACTTTTATCGATTTGAAATTGTTGTGCATAATTGATCGCAATATCCTTCGTTTTATCAATGTCTTTCACCTCAATCGGCTTATCATCTTCATTCACCTTGTCTGAAACCTTTACAAGAGCTTTGACAATATTATTGGGGTGCACCATACCTAACATGTTAAAAAACATGAATTATGTTAAAATAGAATTTTGGTTTTGAAACAGACACTTTTTCGGATATGCACTTCCGAATTATGGTAGGTTAAATTCGGAAGTGCATATCCGAAGCGACTCTGTTTTCATCTTCAACAAATCATCCTCCATGCAGAAAATGTGTACTGAAATAACATAAATTTATCTCAAATTGCAGCTTTCGATACTCTATTTGTTATACTCAAACACTTGAAATTTGATTTAGAGACGAAAAATCTATTGAAAATGATTGAAGATTTATAACGGTTTTGTTTATGGAGGAATGAAAAATGAATAAAATAGTTGAAATAGATGATCATACAACATTTTAATATGGAAATGGTAGTTTCGGAGATGCAGATTCGAAATAACCTATTAACATGTTTTACATGGACAACTCCGAAACTACCTCTAAAGATTCAAATATATTTATGTTATAAAATGTGGAAAAAATATGTCTTCATAATTACACTTCATACATTTGGAAGTGCGTCTCTAAAGAGTATATAATAAGAAATTCACAAAACCAAAAAAAAAAAAAAAAATAGTTCTGAGCTCCATAAAGTTGAATTGAAGCCAAACCCTACATATATAGAGGGAAACTTCATTGACTCAGAATGAATAAATTGGTAAAGCAATGAAACCCTTTGTGACACGCTTATCACTCATCATTTTCATTCCTCTCATTCTCTCACTCTTGTTTCTCATTCTTTTTCAAAAGGAGACTTCTATGGCAGCCTATGAAGTATTTGGAGTGAAGATAGAGAAGAATCCATCACAATCCAAACTCAATCAACTTGGTGTTTCATCTTGGCCTAAGTAATTTCCTTTCTCTTCTCACTTTTTTTCCTTTCAATTATTATCATTTTTTCATTGCTCTCAGTTGTGTGTTTCTTGTAAAGTTTTAAGCTTTTTTGTGTTTTACAACTAGGTCTGTTGTGGAGGTGATAATATCATTTTTTTTCCTTCTCTGGGTGTTTGAGTGGTACTGTTTAGTTCTGTGTTATGTTGATTTCTTTTATACCCTTCTTTCTAGGTTCTTTGGAAGGGTTGTTTTCATCAATTTGTCGCAATCGGTATGTTTTCGATTGTTGGATAAGATAGGTTAAATATTTTCTTATTCTAGTGCAAATTAAAAAATTAATATTTAAATTTAAACCTTTTGATCTTAATCCAACTCATGCAAATATAGGTTTATATATATTACCTTCCTAGTTTTGCTTTCTTTTTTGTGGTTTGGTTCTATGACATCTTTTCACATTTTATTCTATCTTGAGTTACTTGTAACATAAGAATCTGAAAATTCAACAGGTGGGAAGGTGGTCCATTAAAAATTCCATGGTCCTTTGAAGAAGAAGAAACAATGTATCTGCTTGAAGGAAAAGTGAAGGTCACAGTTGAAGAATCAGTTGGATCCTTTGAAATTGGAGGTGGTGATTTAGTTGTTTTTCCTAAAGGAATGAACATTACATGGGATGTGACTGAACCTGTCAAGAAGCACTATAGCTTGAAAAAAGAATGAGCCTTATAATCCTTGTGGTCTAATTAGTAATTGTGCTATGTATGAATTTGATTAAGTGATTATCAAACACTAAGCAGTTAAGCCTTCACTTCCATTAGATTATAACTTTGATTGGAAGTAGTAATTTGTAATCGGTATGTTTTATGGTGATTATGGATATCATGCTATTATATTTAAATTGAATTATCAGTTGAAGTTGCTCTATGTCAATATAATTTAGAGCCTGTTTGGATTAAAGCTTATTTGGAGTTTATACCATAAGTGCTTATCAAAATAACCACTTATGAATAAACTTGCATGAGTTATTTATTATAGCAAAAGATAAAATGAATTTAAATTGTTTTTATACATGCTATAAGTTAGTGTCTTTGGAGAGTGGCCTCATGTTAGTGTCATGACCGACAACGGTCTTCATGTTAGTATTGATGTTGATTAATTTTGGGGATTTCTTAACATACCTAGGTCATTGATAAACAAGACCTTATAAAAGAGAAGGGAATTAACCGGAGATACTCTTACGGGAGAGACATGTAGGTGTATTTCCAGAAGCACCCCAACTGCAAATCATAATTTAGCTTAAGAAATCTCAAATGTCACGCAGAAATATTCCAAACATGCACTTACGGAAGGAATATGTAGGTGTATTTTCGAAATATGTTGACACAAATACGCGCGCTCGTCTCTTCCCCTTCTTCATTTCAGAAACACACTATGAAGCTCAAACTCAAAACTCTCTCAAAATCCTTTGTGCGAAAATCTCATCCGAAATCAACAAACAACAATCAAACATCTTCTAACATCATTATTTAAGCTTCATCAACCAACAAAAATCAGAAATTGTAAGTATTTTTTGAACTTTTTAAGTTAATGTAAATGCATATAGAAATTGAGTTTTAGGTTAGGTAATTGAAATAATTTTAGTGATTGCAAGCTTAAAGTAGGATTAAACGTTTTAGTAATGTTGTTTTTACAATCAATGACTGTTTTTTTTTTTAGGTTTTAGTAGCCGAGCTTCGCAATTGACGAAGCAGAAAGTTGCAGGTGGTATCAAAGTTACATTTTCGATTTTTTTCAATGTTTATATACAAAATCGGAAATGCATCTCCGATATTAATCTGGTTGCATTTTTCCCATTTTTTGAACATGAGTCTTTTGGTAACGTTTGTTTCGTATTTCTACGGGAGTTATGGTTGAAAGACCATCTAGGTTGAAACACGACAAGCTTGCACAACATGTTTCAGTTCGGAGGGAAAGAAGTCAAGCATCCCAGACCCCTTCTACTTCTGGACAGATTGTGACAACGGCTACAGGTTTTGGTGTTCACGTTTCTCCGTCTTCTTCTTCGTCCTCCCGTGACAGACGAGGTTCTTGTGCTCATCCCTCCCTGCCTCCATCTTCTCGTAAATGCACTGCTTCTCTTATAGTATTTGAGGCAGGAGAGACATCACACTCTAAACCGACACCTGAGGCCACACAGTCGGTGCCTGATACATCCCAGCCTCCTAAGCGCACCTGAGGCATCACAAGTGTCTCAGCCCCAGGCGATGAGGCCACACCTGCAGAACCTTCGAATTTTAGAGGGTCTTCCAATTTATCACTTTTTCCTCTACTCGGACCATGTTGTCGGACATATCTGAGACAGAGAGGTAAATATTAGCTCAAACTATTAATTTTGTAGTGTTTCTTTTATTATGAAATTTTGTTTGATTAAATCATTTTTATCAAACCATATATGCAGGAACATGATCCGCTAAAGATCATTAATCATACGCGGAAGATCACTCGCCTAACAGCTCCCAGTGAACGATGGTTTCAAGATGTCTTCACATTTATATACTTTTGATTTATTTTGGTTTTCGACTTGGATAATATTTTATTTATCAACTTTAGATTATATTTGAATAATGTTTTGGTTATCGACTTTAAATACATTTTAGTGTTGACTATATATATATGGAAGAGGAATGAGTGTTATGTATAACCATTAACTTCAGATAAAAAAATGATCACATTCAATATTCCTCATAAACAATTGAAAATCTGTATAATGTGCTAATTAGCAATGCTACACTACACCTTTCTTTATTTTCTTATTTCTTTCCTATTCAGTAACAACTAACACCAGTAGCTATACTGTTGTACAAGGGATAATTACATCAATCTTTCTTTTTATATCATTTTTACAATTAACAATAACAATGATAAATCATACACTAACTAACTATAATGTTACAAGCTCATCGCTCTCGATGAAATATCTGAATCTCTCTCTTGAAACTCCGATTCTTCCTCATTCGCCTGTAAAAGATTATGAAAGATTAGACACACTTCACTCGCGGATGAATTTCACATTGATCTATTATGAAAGATTGTACCTCTGAATCCTTTGTCTTAGCTAGGTACTTCTCCAAAGCACCATCTCCGCGGAGAATTTTCCCGCCACATCCCGGAGCCGTTAGTGATCCTACTGATTCTTCATCAACAACTACAGCGTCAACACGCTCGCTTCCTGTCTTAATATCCGGAATCTGGTGCCAACATAAGCATTGTTGTGTATATCAATATAAAACCGCAGAGGTTGACAAAAATTTGTATTAAATGCAGTTAGACATAGATCAATACGACAATACCTCAAACATGGCATCGGTTAAAATGTTTTCTATTAAGGCTCTTAAACCCCTTGCACCGGTATTTTTTGACATTGCTTTCTTTGCTATTAGCTTCAGAGCTTTTTCTGTGAAGTGTAGCTTTACCTGAAGTACACGAGTAGAGTTCCAATCCTTCAGAGTAATTGAAAACGCGTGCGATTACACAAAAAAAACGGAGCTGCTTACATTATTCATGCTAACTAATTTCTTGTACTGTTTACCAAGAGCGTGTTTTGGTTCTACGAGGATCTGCAAGCCCAACAATATTTTCGTTGTCATATATTTATTCCAAATCAAAATCTAAAATAAACAATATCTATAAAATGCCTGCATTAGGAAGAGATATGATAAAATCAAAGGCGATATAAACAATGAAGGAATACCTGCATAAGTTGCTCTTCGGTTAAGGCTGACAAGCTAACTAAGATGGGGAATCGTCCTATAAACTCTGGTATGAGTCCATATGCAATTAGATCAGAACTCTCCACCTGAAAATTTTTAACGCAGCAGCATTTATACTCATTTGGAATTCAGAAGTTCTCAGCGATAGCAAATCACTACATAGACATAAATATGACACTGACACGTTGACACTGGTAATATATAAAAATAGAATAATCAATATAATTGTATATGCTAGTGTCGTGTCAGACACCAGACGTGCCTTAAATTTGAAGTGTCTCTACTACATCGATGTTCTTTTCCATATGATTAAAACAAAAAGAGTGAATAAAATCTCAGCTAATAAGAGACAATTTCTCACCGTTGCAAGTAAAGATGATGCTACTGAAGAATCTATTATTCTGCCGGTTCTCATGTTGGCACGAACCGGTGCTCCAAAACCAATTGAAGAATCTTGCCGTCTGGGTCATTTGATATATAATTCAAGTTAACAAATATTTCACATAAACCATTACGCATGTAAAACAAACATCTTTAATCTATGAACAAATTATTTTTCAGGAGCACGGCTTAAAAGATTACCTCTCTGAGATCGTTTTTTCGAGATCAATAAATGCTCCACCACATATAAAAAGAATATTCTTTGTGTCCATCTGCATGTTTTATAGAAATTGAATGGAACATTATTCAACAAATTAACTATGTAAGCATTTTTATTGTTGTGACCTATGAAACACATACACCGGAAACACAACACCGACACTGGTACTGACACTTTTTTTCAGATGTGTCAGTGCTACGTGAAAATTGTCTAAAACAAAACGATGAGATGATATTTGTTCCAAAACAACATACCTGAATGTTATCGCCTCGTGGATGTTTCCGGGCTCCTTTCTCCGGAACATTTACCATCTAGACAATAAGAAACCATTTCATGTTTAGGATTTTGTAAGAATGACATTTACTATCAATGAATTTGTATAACATATTTCAATGTTTGTTTAATATTAAAAAGATATTATAAACCAATTAGCAACGACAACGATCTGGAATCGCTCTACTTACAGTTCCTTCTAGCATTTTTAATAATGCCTGCTGAACACCCTCGCCGGAAACATCTCGGCTGATATTTAAGCTCTCGGCCTGTAAAATGTATCACAACATTTAATATCTATAGTGGACGAGAAATTATAAACTGATCCGATTAAATTAAACAAAAAAAAACCTTCTTTGTTATCTTGTCAACTTCATCAATGTAAATTATTCCTTGTTGAGCTGCTGCAACATTGTAATCTGCTGCCTGTATGGCAAAAATTCACAAACAATGAAATGAGAGAAAAAACTTCACAAAGAAAATCCATCAATAAACAAATATACGAGAAAACTTTTATGACAAATATACTGCATTGTTGTCAAATAACGATCAAACCGCTATTGTTCTCCGATATGTTATTTAGTAGAAAGTGTTGTCAAATAGCAACTATTGTGGCACTCTCTGTTATTAAACTCGGCCGGTCAAATAGCAACTATTGTGGGGCTCTATGTTATTAAACATGGCCGCTCCGACCGTTATCTCGACAGGGAACAGCAAAATTAAGAAAACTGTGTCAGTCCGTGCCATTCCGTCCCAGATGGGTGACTCAGCTAGAACGATCGTAACAATGAGATTGGATTCGGAACGACGCCGCTCGGCAAGCCATATATGATATTACCCTTTAAATTTTAAGGATAGCAAGATTATTTTATTGAATTTTATTGGCATTTGCAAGTATGCTTTGCTCAAGTCTTTTATTTCTAAATATGAATACTTCATGAATTTTGATTCATTTATTTTAGTTTTTAACAATTATATGATCATTAGTATTAATTGTATCAGTATCCGCTCCCCAAAATATTGGTCACCAAAATATCGGTCACTAAAATATCGGTCGTTCCACTCCCCGCTCCTATTCCGTTCCATTTTTGGAGATGGCCACGCCGCTATCCGAGATTGATAACATAGGTGGTGCTATAACATTGTATAGTAGCAGAATTAGAACAAAATAATTGAGAGACATTGAAAGACAAAAACGGCATACTTAACAATACACATACCGCAAGTAGTTTATGTAGTATTGATTCAACATCTTCTCCAACATAACCAGCCTGAAAATTAGAACATTTCCTCTTTTTGGTTAATACAACAAAATTTTGTGGCAGGACAAATAAGCCGGCTACAAAACCAAATCAAAACAGTTACTATTATCGAAATCCACAGTTCGATTTTAAAGTAAGAAATTGATTCCAATCAGCACAGCATATCAAATATGGACGGGTAATTATGTTTTAAATTGTTTATGCTGAAGACTTAGTATAATGCACACTTGCCTGTGTTAAAGTTGTTGCATCGGCAATGACAAACGGAACATTCACAAATCGGGCTAGTGTTTTTGCAAGTAATGTCTTCCCTATATAATGAAAGTTAGTTATTATAGAAGGCATGTTGTGATTTCAGATACCGATACGAAAGGTGAGTGCAATGTGAATGTTATACCTGATCCTGTTGGACCCATCAAAAGAACGTTACTCTTTTCTAGCTCGACATTTTCGTCATCATCAAATACGTCTGAAATTCCTGAGTCTGCTGCACCCAACCTAGTATTGAAATCGACCAATTCAATCACATAGATAATGCAAAAGAACAAGTTACAAGTTTACATTCAGTAAATTTTCCAAAAAAATATCACATAATAAGAAGCATCAATTGAAATTTGACCAAGGAACAAAAATAAAGAAAGCGAAAGGGAAAGTAAAAGAACTAACCCTTTCGGCAGAGTTGCATGGTATATTCTTTTATAGTGGTTATAAACCGCTACAGAAAGCACCTTGAACAAAACCATAAACCATTAATGAGGTACGATCAAAGGCGATAAGTTAGAAAAATGTATTTGTTGTGTGTTTATTATAAAATTAAACTATGATTATGGATATAGACAAAACAAATACTACTCCGGTTACTATTATAAGCAAATATTCTCTTTTCAAATTTATTGAGTAATTAATGTATTTGATCTATATCTAGACCGGATACATAAGTTATTCAATGACCCTGAAAATGGAATCTTTGCTTATAATAGTGACCAGAGGGTGTATATACTAGAATGATTTTTAATCGTTTCCTCATTTTGCGTCGTTAATAAACCACAAAAGAAGCATTAACACATAATTGCACATCAACAGCCCAAACAAACAAAAACTAGACCAAACCAAGGCATCAATTTTTTTAAAGAAAAACTAGTGAAAGTGAAAGAAACAAAAAACTAAACCAAGGCACCGACCACTAAAGAAAACCTAGTAGAGGCGGAACTCGTGTAAAAACATACCTAAATAGTCATTTTGATCCTTAAATGTGTGAGACGCTATCACCCGAATGTTTTGAAATTATAAAAGCATATTGCGAAGCAAATTGAATAAAGGAAAACACATTCACTAACTAATCAATAGACACATTTAGGTATGTTTCTGTAATAATTTTGATATATTCAAAGACTAAGCAAATATGGAGGCCCGTAGGTTAATCATGGTTCAACCATGACAAAACAAATATGGGCCCAATATAACCATGATTTGACCGTGACAAATATTTTATAAGGCCCTATTTAATTATGGCTTAACAATGAGAAACTTTGGGTCATGAGCGGTAGCCCGCCTTACACGCCCTCAAAGACGCCCTAAATGCGTCTCACATATTTAAGGATCAAAATGACCGTTCACTAAAAAATCATAGTGAATTGATAGATTCGGGGAGAACGGGATACCTTCTTGGCTCTACCTTGTCCAATAACAAACTTATCAAGACCCTTACAAATCTCCTTTGGTGTAGGCAAGTCCTTCCCCAAATTAGACCCTCCCCATGAGGCCTTCTCTCCATGGCCACCTTCCCGTGGCCCCGAAGCCCGAACAACATTAACCCCCGGTGCAAAAGGAGGACCCGGAGGAGTATGCACAGCCAAACCATTCCCATTCCCACCACCCGCCGGTGGAGGCCATGTCTCCGGCGGCTCCCCATTATTACCATCACCATTTCTACCACCACCATTGTAAGATTTCAAAGTATCCCATAATGAAATTTCAAGCCAATTACTAGCACTACCTTTAAGACCAAATTCATCACCTCCAAAACCATTCTTAATACTATTACTATTACTACCACCATCTTTTCCACCACCGTTTCTTACCCTCCTAGATAATTGAGATTTACTAGCACTAGCACCATTATTATTACTATTAGTTACTCTACCAATCTCCACAAATGTACCTTGTAATGGTGATGTGTTGTAAGGACGAAAATAATATGCTGTTTTACAGTTTGGACATAGATTCACTGCTTGGTAACCACTCTCTCCACCACCACCCGAATTCGAACCACCACCGCCACCATTACCACCACCACAATCAGAATCACTAGTGGATGGAAAATGGCGATTGGAAAAGAACAAGTTCATATCTTTAGAACACCGAGGACAATTAGCCTCAGCCCGAATCTTCCTGATCGGGCTATGAGCATTATCATCTGACCCGCCACGGTCCCACTTGTACCGTTCCTGAACTCCGATTAAATCCTCCCGGCGGCGATGTTTACCAACTCCGGCGACAATGATGTGATTCAAGTGAGTTGAAATTGGATGAACCCGGTTGAACCGGCTTGTTAAACCGAAACCGGTTCGACAGTTACCCGATTCAACAACCATGTGGGTCCCAGGAAATTGCGTCATTTCCTTCATTTTTTTGCATCTCGAGATGAATCGAGACATGGGTAGTGAGAATTTTGGTAGAAAATTTAACAAAATTGTATCTTTTTGGATTAGAATGAGGGAATAGAGAGAATTGAAAAATGAATGATGATAATATTGATAAAGATAGGAAATTTGGATCTATAAGCGTGATTTGAGAAATGGGTTAGCGGTGATTTATGATGGGTTGGGTTTGTGAGGGAGAAAAAGATTGGATTGGATTGGAGAGGATTGAGGAAGAAGATAAAGTTGGAGAGTGTTTATCGGTAAAGAAATGGAGTTAGATTAGAAAGGAGACAAACACAACTACAAAAGGAAAACAAAAACATACATTTGTCATGTTTTATTGTTTCTCTCTCTTGTTTCTCTCTCTAAGATGTGAAAGTGTGTGTTGTTATAATATGGTTTCGTAATTGGTAAGTTTTTCTTGTGTTAAAATTATGTTACAATAAATGTATATAGACCATTGTTTAAGAGATTAATAAATGGTGGAAAAATAAAATTCAAGTAAAAGTGTGTTATTTTTTACACAATTAATGATATGATAAAAAGGAGGAGAAAATTTACTGTTTGCAAATAAATGAGAGAATATTTAATTGTTGTTTTACATTATGAATTAAAATTTTTTTAGAATTTTCAAAAATTTGACTTTTTATAACTTTTTTAAAAAAATATATTGTGATATTTTGACTATATATACGACTTTATAACAAAAATATTGAATGGGAATTAAAATTTTAAAGAAAATGCTATATATATATATATATATATATATATATATATATATATATATATATATATATATATATATATATATATATATATATATATATATATATATATTAGTGTTTTTGGCTCTTTCAATGAATAAAATTGGTCCAATTTGTTTTCACCTTCGACACGATTCAATGATGTTGGTCCAGTATCTCTGGTCGACCACGTCTTTGAATGGCGTTTGTCTGTGCGGACAGTTACCTCTTAGTCTGCTCGACGAAGAGCAGATGTCTAAAAAACCTTCATAAACGCTTATGTGTTACGGATACGACTGTCCGTTTTGATCAAGTCTTGACAATTCTATTTTTGCGGATCCGCACATCTAGGCCCAAAAATAAGAATCAATGGTTATGTGTTGGAGCACTATATAAACCTCACACTTGTGAGGCTCATGTATTTAATATTCACTCATAAAACATTAATCTCTTTCTTATATCTTTTTGCACTCTTCCTCACTAGATCGTCTGAGTGCCTTTCAGGTACACCCCCTCCTCTCCACAGATTTTCAGCCAAGCAGACGTCATCAACTCGGCCCACCTTCAGGTTTTGATCAACCAGTAAGATCAGTGGCGTCGTATGTGGGAAACTATCTTCCATGTCTTCCTCTTCCTCGAAACCGAAGACCAAAGATACATTCACTACTTCAATCATGGTCGACCATGATGATCATCACCTCTTTGAAAAGATTGTGCTCTCCCTCGCTCGCAAGGAGAATATGAGCGAAGAACCTCCTCACCTCGAGGAGGTCCCCGATCTCAAGGATGGCCAAACCGCATCTCCTGACTCAGTCGACGCAGACCGCGAATACCCCTATTTTCTAGAGAAACTCCTAGAGAATTAGAGCTAGAAAAAGCATGTTGAGGAACTGCCAATTATCCTTCAGCCAGTTCAGATTCCAGTCAACATCGATCCGACCATAGCAGTGTTGCTCGCTTCTCTCAACCAAACCAACACTCTCATCCTACAACAGAGCAACATGATGGGAGTATGGGATAAGAAGATGTCAAAGTCTCCCCGAGCCTATCCCCACACAGGCGTGGTCGACCAACCAAAAGGGAGAAGCAAGATGTTTCTTTCCCCGAGAAGTGTGATCGCACTCCTCTCCGAAAAGATCAAGGCTATTTGTCTTCCAATAAGACAAAAAGCGACTGTCGACTTACCCACGACCGTTCACCGTCGCCCAAGCCAAACCAACAACGGAGAAGCATGTCTCCTCGTCGAGACAACAACCCTGAACGAGGAAGGAATCATCATTCCCGCCATCATCTCTTGAGGGAAGCGACGATGATGAGCCTCGCGGCTCATTATCAAGAGAGATCATGGAAACTACGCTCCTCATCAGCCTAGAGAAGCCTCCCCCTTTGGGGACATACGATGGTACGACCGACCCTGACGAGCACATCGAGAATATCAATGCGTTGCTCGACTACAGAGGGTTTGAGGAGCAATCAAATGGATCTTTCGTACTACGCTTAGGAAATGAGCCATGACCTGGTATAAAAGCCTTCCAGACGAATCCATCACATCGTGGAAGAACTTGGGAAGACAAATTTCCAGGCACTTCAGAGCATCTCTCCGTCATCCCAATTCGAAAGCATCTTTGGAGGCGATCATCCAATGAAGAGATGAATCCATCCGAGCATACATTGAGCGCTTACACAAAGAAGCTATGCAAGTTTCTACGACCGACTGCATGATAAAATATCTCCTCGAACGTGGGTTGTGTCCCCGCAGTGACTTCGCCAAGGCGGTTGGCATATAATCCCCGGACACCCTGGATACCCTCCTGCTCAAAGCACAGGCATACATCTAGTACAAAGAAAAGGAGGCATCTAGGGGTGTTCGTGGTTCGGTTTGGATCGGTTATCAGACAAAAAAATCATTAGATCCAAAGATAAATTTACTTGCGGTTCGGTTCGGTTTTGGACGATATATTAAAAAAATCCAATCCGATCTAATTTTATGCGGTTTAATTTAGATCGATTTTTGGATATCCAAATTACACGTTATATTTTTATTAATATTATAAAACTACTAATAAATCATAGATTTGATATAATATATAACATATAGTATATTAAAAGTTAATATTACAAAATGAGAGTGATTGATTATGATTGAAATGATAAAAATAAATAAATTATACCAAGCTAATAACTATAATTAAAAAATTATTATCATCTAATAATAAATTCACGTAACATATCATACTAATAAAAAGTAAATAAGTATAAAAATATATGTGTGCGGTTTGGTTTGGTTTGGATCGATTTTGAAAAATTAATTTGAAATCTGATCCGATCGGTTTTCACAAAATGACATTCAAACACATCCAATAAATTTCGGTTTTTTGCGGTTTTTGGTTTTTTAGATCGGTTTTTTATTTGGATTGGTTTGAATTTGAACACCCCTAGAGGCAGCTAACAACTCGAGGGACTCGTGAAATAGAGAGAATGCAAAAGTCCCAAAGAATGATAAGCCCTCGACATCCCGTCGAGGAGGAGAAAAACGAAATGAAGACAAGTCCCGAGATTATAGAGACTACAAGGAACCGACTGGTCAATTTCACGACTACACCCCTCTCAACGCTTCACGCGAGTGTATCCTTACTGACTGCACCAATGCAGAATTTAAAATTGTCGAAATTGTCGAAATCAACCAAAAATTCTCGAATAACATCTAGTTCTTGTGGAGGAAGAATGCAATGACCTTGAGAGGTTTGTTGAGTGATGTGATTCTCATTAACTTATGTAGAAGAAGTAGTAACAATAGTTGCCTTTGTAGGAGGAACTGATGAAGATGATGGAACAAAGGTAGATGATAGTGAAGAGCTGGAAGTAGTTGGTGGTTTTGATGCTTGATTAAATTCCTTTGTGAACTTAATTGCTTCTTTTTGAGAATTGGTTATCATGAATTTTATTTGAGGAAGACATGAATGAATGTTGACGGAGAGCCCAGAGGGGCGGTTGAAGGAGAATATGGGTTTAAGGTTTCTAATTTGTGAGGTGGTGAGAGTGAGTGTGTGTGATTTATAGTATTTGAGAAGTGAGAGAATATAAAATAAAACTGAGTTTTAATTATACATAATAATTAGGAGCATTAAATGAAAGTAATGATTATGATATCAATCAAATTCTAAGAAATACGCACACTGCTCATTGCATAGCTTATTTAGTGTGTGATGATTAAACATAACCAAGAGTTACACACATTAATCAATACATCTAACTAGTGACACATTTAATATCCTTAGAGTTCTAGAAAACCAAAATATTTCCATCTAAACAAAGACATTTCTGACCGAAACATCTTATGATTACCGAGATTTTGAAAGAATTAGCAGTAATAGGATTTAAAGAGAATAGAAACATTACTCATAGAAGTCTGATAGATTGTTAGTTGATTCTGTAGACAATCTTCAGAGTTCAAACTATTCAGAAGATGAGTTGGCATAAGCAAAATCATTGAAGCTCGGAAGCATTTCTCTAAAAGATTTAAAGTTTGGTCTTGTTCTGACAATAACATCTTGGATTATACGAATTTCAGAGTCAATAATCTTTCTTTTCTGGTTGCTTTTGACACTGTTCATGTTTCCAAATTTAAGTTCTAAATCTTGGAACATATGCCTTTCACCCGTCATGTGTCGCGAGCATCCACTGTCCAGGTACCATGACTGATGTTTCAGTGGCGCCATTAAGTAGATCTGTAATATATATTATTTGATCCTTAGGTATCCACTTTATGGGTCCTCTTTTGTTAGAAGTTCCAGAGGTTATGACCCCTTTGGACTTTCGTGGAACTGAATAATCATGATACTTCAGTTTAAAGATTTTCTTCTGTGTATGTGTTCATGCTACATAAGTATCAGAACCTTCTTGTTCTGGACATTTCAAATTTGTGTCAGCAAGCACAAAATGTTCAGAAAGAGGTTTTGGTTTGATATCCAGAGTTTCATCAATTTTCTTTGATGGTCATGAATACCCCAAGCCTTTGCTTCTATTTCTACTAACACCATAGATAATTGAAACCATATTGCTTCTATTTATGCTTTTAGCAAGGAAGTGTTGAAAATCTTTATCATATCTGATTACTTCGTCAGTAACAAATGTGTTAGAGAGAATCTCTTCTTCTAATATATACACTTTACTTTTCAGAGAAATGTTTGATTTTTGTAAAATAAATAGTTTTTCATTTAAGACGAAAATACTTTGCTCATCTATAATAATGTTCTCTGAAGTAGCCACAAAACTATTTTCTCTCTCAAGATTTTGTGTTTACTTATAAGAGATTAATAACTTTTCATTAATTCGGATAAACCAATTTCAAGTTTAGAACGAGATAAAAAAAGTACCTCTTTGTCGTCATCTGAGTATGACTCATAATTAATTGTCAGTTCGTCTTCTGATGTTGCTTCTCCCTTGCTGGTCCTGACCATGAATTCCATGTTTGTATGTTTTTCATCAGAATCTTCGTCTTCTGATTCTGAATCATCCCATGTTTCCATGAGACCCTTCTTGGCTTTGTAAGCCTTTTTAGGCTTCTTGTTTTTCTTAAGCTCTGTATAATCATTTTTGTAATGTCTAGGCTCGTTGCGTTCAAAATAAGTAACTTCTATTCCAGAAGTATTTCTCTGTCCAGAAGTGAATTCACCTATTCCATATGTCCTTTTTTGACCTCTGAACTTGTTTTATTTGTGGAGTAACCTTTGTTCAGAACCTTAAGTTCTGCCACAAGAGTCTGAAATCTTGAAAACATTGTTTCCACAAATTCGTCATCTTCCATCTTGAAGGCTTCATACTTTTGGACTAAAGTCAGAGCCTTTGTTTCTTTTACTTGTGTGTTTCCTTCATGTGTCATCTGAAAAGAATCAAAAATAAACTTTGTAGTCCTCTATCTATGATTTTCTCATATTCGTTATATGAGATAACACTTAGAAGAATGGTTCTTGCTTTGTAGTAATTTCTGCATACTTTCTTCTGTGCTTCCGTCATTACACTTCTTGCAATATTATGACCTTTATCATCTACTGGGTGAGTATAGTCATCAACTACTAAGTCCTATATATCTAAGTCATATGCTAAAAAGTAATTTTCTATTCTATCCTTCAAATAGTCAAATTTATCCCCATCAAATATTGGAGGCTTTGAACTATAATAATCTCTATCATTATCCATATTATCAAAAATGGAAGTAGATGTAGCCATTGGTTTTTCACACACACTAGATCGGTACTAGACACTGTTAAGTGTTGATAAAACTTCAAACTTTTTATCTTCTGAGAACCAGAGCTCTGATACCAATTGAAGGTGTGAAAAATACAAGAAAGGGGGGGGGGGGTTGAATTGGGTTTTTAAAACAAAACTATTCTTTTAAAAATATTTCCCTTTAAGTTAAAATACTTTTTTCTTCACTCTTGATAATAACAATAAGTAAGATCGAGAAGTAAATAGCAATGTATGTTTATACTAGTTCATTTGAAAATTATCAAACTAGTATAGTCCACCCGTCAAGGTGATTTCGCCTCACTCAATCGAGGACTTAATTCACTATTAACCAAACTAATTAAAATTTTCACAAACTACCCGCAAGTGACTAACAACCTCTAAGACTCGCAAGCCCTATACTTTTTAAAGATTCAGACCTACCCGGTTCCTTAAGGAATATCAACTAATAATCAACCTAATTATTACAATGCACAAGTTACCCACAAGTGACTAACAACTTCTAAAACTCACAAGTTCTAGACTTCTTAAGGCTACAGACCTACTCGATCCCTTAAGGAATATCAAACAACTGTTTAAATACAAGTTTTGTTTACAAGAGTATTGCTTCTAAAAAAGATGAGTATGTAAACTAATTTATGAATAATGACTTAAGAATGTGAAAGCTATGAACAACGTTTAAGCGTGAATATTCAGTGAATTGACAACTTTCTTTCTTAGTCTTCAAGCATTTATATATCCATTAAAATAATGTATCTGTTGAGGGATACTCTTGGAATTTCCAGAACCATTAGCAGCTTGAACAGTAACGCAGGGGACGAGATCGTGCGACGCTTCTGTCCTTTCATGGTAGTGGAATGAATCGTTGATTGTACCATGTACTATTTGTACCATGTTAACACTATCTTCTTTTCTTATGTACTTCAGAGGCTTCTGCGAGCATGAGTTTGGAAGCAAACACATAACATCAGGTTATCAAAACTTCAAGTCTTCAGAGTCTTCAGAACTGCGTCTTTAGAGTCTTCAACACTTGGTTATGAAAACCTTTCCTCAAAACATTGGGTCTTTAGAGCTTCAAATCTTTAGAATCTTTAGAACTTCCGTCTTTAAAGTCTTCAGCACTTGATCTTCATAACCATTATCTTTAGAACTTCGTTAATAAAAACACAAGCTTTCGATATTTGGACTTCAGTAGAAACTTTGTCTTCAGATCTTCCAACTTTGTTTCTTTGTAACATGTTGTCTTTAAAAGCTTGAGTCTGCAACATCTGGACGTAAGTAGAGACTTATGTCTTCAGATCTTCTGACTGGTTTCTTTTAGATAAACATCAAAGTTTACACTTCAGAGCCTTCTAGAGTATTTTTCTACTGTTCAACAGAACTTGTGTAACATAGAAGTGGAATTAGCTCTCTTCTAATGTCTTGACCACGTCATCCATTAGAAACATAACCTGTTTGTTAAGTACTCAACAATAACAAACATTAGTACAACAAAATTGTTCATACAATCATACTCATTTGTTATCATCAAAACTCAGAGATAATATTGCAGAATCAAATCTTGTTCTTACAATTCGATCCAAAATTTTAGCCCATACTAACTCAATAAACCTATTCGCCACCATCTGATTAAAAACTCTAGAGAAATTAACATGTCACCCCAAAATTAAACATGCCACCCCAATTTCTTTATTCCAACTTTACCCCTAATGAGATACAAAGAAATTTTCAGACAAAATTTCTGATAGAAGGGTTGAAATTTCCGATACACCCCTACCAAATTTTCGGTAAGAGTAAATTTCTGGTAGTACATTTGAAATTTCCGGTAAACTGAAAATTTCAAATTTATGTGACAATTTAAACTTTCAAATTTCAAAATTGAACTACCCGAAATTTCAAAATTTCCGGTATCCTGTAAAGTTTCAGGAATTTTGAAATTTTCGATACAAATGGAAAATGTTTACACCGAAAATTTCAAAAATTCCGGTACAAAATACCAAATATTTCGCAAATATATCAGAAATTCCGGTATCACCATTTAGGAGATTGGTCACAAAAATTTTGAATTTCTAAAAAATATTTAAATCTGAGTAATTTGGTTTTTTTATATCATTTGAAAAAATGCCATATATAAAAGAGAGGTGACATGTTAATTCCTCAAAACTCTACCGATCCAAACAACACTTAACCACACATCATAGATATTGGTTCGGTTCGGGTCGACCCGCCCGATATTCAACCCTAATTACATCTAACCAAGTCCATTATCACCTCTAGACTCATGTCACAGATTCCAATATAAATGTTACCAAAAAAAATTTTTAACCAAAAAGTAGAGGAAAAAAAGCGAGAAGTGCGTATAGTGTGAGCGTGAACAAGCATGAACAATCCGTAGCAAAGAAGAAGATTTATGAACCAAAATCTCCTCAACACAGTTTCATCAAAATCGTTTCTTCTTGTCTCTACAACGATCTTCATTTTTCTTCAATTGTAAGTCACCATTTTTCTTCTTCACAATCAATAATAATTCCAAAAAAATCAGAAAATTCCTTAGTTCTTCTAATCAGTTACTTTTCATTTTCATTTCTCAATCCAAATTTCTCAACTTTGCTGATTCTAGGGTTGCCCATTTTTTTTCATTTTTCCTTTTTTTTCTTCTTTCTGATATTAATATATTATTTTTTTAGGGTTTCGTTCTTTCTTGAACTTCTGGGACTTGCTGTGATTTCTAGAAGCTTACAGGTATCAAGTTGTTGAGATTTGGGTAAGCTTGGTTTTTTATTGCTAATGTTTACTTCAAATGAGTAACTTCAAATTTTAATTTTTCATTTATGAGCTTGTGTGTATTGTGATGGATTAATTAGTTTAATTTTGTAATAATTTTTTGGCGGGGGTGTTTTTTTTCAATCTTGTTTATTGTTTTTGTTGTTTGGTTTCAAATACAATTGCTAGTTTTATTATCCTTTATATATTTTGACTTCAAATGTAAGAATTTAATGCAATGCTTTGAAAAATCTAACGTTCAATATGCTGATACATATAGTTAATGGTTTGATTAGTTTTCTTGCTTGAATTTATGGTTGAGGAGTGATCTGACTTGAGATACAGCCGATTCACGGTTTTATCGGTTGAGCCGGATGGTCTGATTTCAGTTTTAAATTGATGTAATGATTACGGTTTGATCTGTTGAACCGGATGGTCTGATTTCAGTTTTAAAATATTGATGCAATGAAATGGAATGTTATGTTATGTTATGTTGTTTTGTGATTGTACAGATTCGTGAACACCGAAGTATCGAAATATTGTATAGTTTTCAACTTTCCATTATGATCCCACAATAAGTTGTTCTTCGATACTTCGTAAAAGGAAGGGTATCTATGTTCGAGTGGTAACCAATTCCGTTGCACGTCAATTACTTACCTTGATAGTATCCCATATTGTATATTATTTAATTTATTAATTTCGTTGATATTTATCTTATCCGGTTTTGATACGTCTTGCCAATTAACGACGCTTGTCACCCGGATACGACGCTTGTCACCCGGATACGACGCCGACACGCCGTCATTGAAAGCGCCATTCAATGGTCGTACTCTTCAGTTTTATACTTTATGTCTGCACTATAATTGAGATCCATATCGGTTATCTGATACAGTTTCGACACATCTTGCCAATTAATGACTCGGTTGTTACTCGGAATCGACGTTTGTCATTGGAAATTTCATTTTTTTATCTGCATTTTGTACTGTTATTACTCTTCAGTTTTTTACTTTATGTCTGCTCTATTGTTAAGGTCCGCACGCGTTGTTATTTTGCTGCCTTTCTTATTTTCACGTGATACTCTTTTGTCCCTCTGCAGAATTGCTTTGGTTGCTGACTTGTGGAGTTCTGCGCTGCATTGTTGTGTAGCTCTTGCTCATTATTTGCGCTGTTACTGTTGTTGTTCTCGTTCTATTCTCTTGACTGTATTTCACGTATCTGCTTCATCGATCTGGTTTGCACATTTTATGACCTCATACCCTAATTCTGCGGTACTGAACTCCTTTCTTGCTCTACTCTTTCGCCCATCTGTTACATATGTTGTGCATTTATGTTTTTTATATTTATAAATTTCTGTTAATATATTTAGGCTGTGTCATATCTTGATGTAATAAATTGTCCCTTATCTTTATATCTTACTCTACCTGTATTGTATCATTATATCCGGGCTTCTCGATACCAGTATTGTCAATCGGGGTTTGCAGAAAATTGCAGTTTGTTTAAATTTTGTTACGCAACAGTGTTATATAATAGCGTACAACTATTAGCTTCCATTTGACAGTATTTTGTATTATATAGCCGCCATTTGGTCAAACTCTGCTGTGCTATAGTGCCCTCTATAACTGCTATTTAACCACACTGCTTGATAGTAGAGTAGTCAATAGCGGCGCTATCCCGCTATAGCGGAGTGGAGCGGAGACCAACCGCTATGGGAAGAGCCTTAATGGTGCAGAAAACTATAGCGGTCACTATAGGGTAAATAGCGGGATAGTGGAGCAAAGCGGTTCCCGTCCCGCAGCGATTTCTGGTCTGCTATCATTTTCTCCTCTAAAAAACTGAAATTACCCCTTAAATTTACAATGTTTTAAGGGTAATTTTGGGTTTTTCAATTAAATTTGAGTTGAGACTCGACCTTAACCTTCCTTCATAGTCGTTTATGCACTTCAAGAGTCACGTGTGCTATGGTTTATGAATATTTTATGAGTTGAGTTATATGTTTAATAATTTGTCCAAAAAATGATCAAATAGAGCGGTCATCATATGCTTCTGATTGGTATTTGTCAAATAATAATGGTCATATGCATTGCTTGAGTGTGTATTTGCTGTTGAATTTAGCGATTTTTGGTGTTGGTCCTACTCTTTTAAACTATATTGCTCTTGAATATTTTGCAAAATCTGATCAATCAATAGGTGAAGCGTTTGTAAGCCAGATTGTATTATAGCATATTAGCATCCCAAAAAAATAATGCCCTTGTATTTTATATATTTGAATTTGATTGAATTCAATTTTCCATACAACTTATTACCTTATTAACTAAAATCTATTTTTACTTTATAGGGTTTGATTTTCATTGACGAATCGCTTGAACTCAAACTGTGTATAATAAACATTTGAGGCACCGAGATTCTTAATAGATGGAGAGTTGCTGATGTTATATTACATCTAATTACTCGAAGAAAGTGGACGAAAACGTGAGAAATGGAGTGCAACAAGGATGAGGCCACCAGGGCTAAAGAAATTGCCGAGCGGAAGTTTACTGCAAAGGACACTTCGGGTGCAAAGAAGTTTGCTTTGAAAGCCCAAAATTTGTTTCCTTCCCTTGAAGGTATTCCTCAAATGATAGCAACACTTGACGTATATATTTCAGCTGAGAATAAAGTAAAAGGAGAAGCTGATTGGTATGGTATACTTGGTGTGGGCCCCCATTCTGATGATGATACAGTTAGGAAACATTATAGAAAGCTAGCTCTCATGCTTCACCCTGATAAGAACAAATCCATCGGAGCCGATGGGGCCTTTAAACTTATTTCGGAGGCGTGGAGTATACTGTCCGACAAGGCTAGAAGGGCAGCTTATGATGAAAAGATAAATGTAAGAGCACCGAAAGGCTCAACCATTTTTGGTGGTTCGTCAGCAAAAGCGGCGGCAAATGGGGCTAACAATAGCAAAAAGAAAACCCCTTCAAGTGGAAAGACTCAGAAGAATGTTGCCAAAGAAAATACATCATCTTCCAATAAATCGAAATCCACATTTTGGACTACTTGCAAACGCTGTAAAATGCAATACGAGTATCTCAGAGTTTATCTTAACCTTAAACTCGTGTGTCCCAGCTGCCATGAAGCATTTTTGGCTGTAGAAACTGATCCTCCTCCTGCAAGTGGTATCAGACCTGGAACCTCGTGGATTTTTAAACAAAAGCACGATAACGAAGGTAAAAGCAAACCTGTTGTTGGAAAGAACAACACGGCACCTCCAAATGCTGGAGCAGGGTCTAACAAGAACAGCTTCCAGTGGGCTCCATTCTCTAAAACTTCTGGTGTTTCTGATGTGGCTCAGGCGGCAAATGTAGTTCAGCAGGCCTATGATAAGGTGAGGCGAGATCGCGAGGAGGCACAAGCAGCTACCAAAAGGGAAGAGACTTTGAAAAGGAAGCAGAATGCTTCGAAAAAAGGTTACTTTAATCCAGCTAAGAGGAAAAGAAAGGGCATGGATGGAAATGGAGCAGTTGGAGCGTCTAACTTAGGCAGTGGAATCAAGTTCAACTGTACTAGAGATCTCTCCCCAGTTGAACTTCAGAAACTTCTTGTTGAGAAAGCTAGAAAAGAAATTAGCAAGAAACTCGTAGAGTTTCAGTCAAATATTGTTGATAAATCAGCAGCAAAAAAGAGTGGAGATTGCGTCCGGAAAGCAAACCAGAAAGGAGAATTTTCAGCAAGAAACTCTGAGTTCTGCGCTCAAAATAACATTGGGAAGTCAGAAGGTGCTCCTATCATTGATAACACTTGCCCTGAAATTTTGGATTCAATGCTAGTAGATATTCCAGATCCTGATTTTTATGATTTTTACAAGGATCGAACTGAAAGGTCTTTTGGTGAAAATCAAGTATGGGCTGCATATGATTGTGATGATGGGATGCCTCGACATTATGCTATGATTCACAAAGTGATCTCGATGAATCCATTCAAGTTGCAGATCAGTTGGTTGTACCCAAATATCAACAGCGGCGAACCAGGCCCTCTAAATTGGGTTTCTTCTGGCTTTTCAAAAACTTGTGGGCATTTCAGATTAGGCAAACGCGAAATCTATAACTCGATCAGTTATTTTTCTCAGAAAGTAAGGTGGGAAAAAGGTAACGACGGAGCCATTTGTATAAATCCCAAAAAAGGGGAGGTTTGGGCCATCTATAAGAATTGGTCTCCTAGCTGGAATGATCTAATAGCAGATGATGTAATACACAAGTTTGACATGGTTGAAGTACTCGAGGATTTTGTTGAAGAACGGGGTGTAACGGTTATTCCTCTGGTCAAGGTGGCTGGTTTCAAGGCAGTATTTCACCACCACTTAAATGAGAAGGAGATCAAGATCATTCCAAGGAAGGAGATGCTTCGATTCTCTCATCAGGTACCTTCAAACGTACTCACCGGCGAAGAAGCTCCTAACGCTCCAAAGGGTTGTAGGGTGCTGGACCCAGCTGCTACTCCATGTGAACTTCTCGAGGTAATAAAAGTTGCAGGAGAGGAAAACATGATGGACAATGTAGATAAAGTTGTAAAAGAAACTAATCATGAGGAAATGATCGTTGATACCGGAAAACTTGGGGGAACAAAGGAGGGAATGAAGAAAGTTATCCATAAAATAGAAACTCCAAAAGAGGACAGAGGGAAGAAGATATGCAGAGGCTTGTAGCAAGGAGGGTATGTACTTTGTAACATGATTAAGGAAAACTAGATGACCACGCGGCTCGTGTAAGGAATGGAAAGTGCTCGATAGCTAGAATTAATTTGACAAAATTGGATCCAAAGTGAGTACACATTGTGATTCATTCTTGGATAGATGAGAAGTTACGATTAATTTATCCAACAACCGCCGTTGATTATGGGTGAGTTTTTTGTCATTTTTTTCCTAGCTATGTAGTATTACTGTCAACGTAAAAAGGGAAGATTTCGTTCCCAACCTGACATTACTGTTTTCAACGGTTAAAGTTGATTGGTTCAGCCTCATTTCATACTAGAAGTTAGTATTGAAATGATGAGACTATTATCTTTAGCAAACTGTTCTATATTTGAAGTTTGTCAGAAGCAAAACTATGCAATTTGCATAAGGGTTTTGCTCTGGCTTTTAAGTTTTTTAATTTTTTTAATTACTTTATAGGTTTCTTACTCAATTTTGTGTACTCTAAATCCGATTAGTGGCACATTAATTATTGCTGCCCATATGTTTGTTTGTAAGAAATTTAGCTCAGTAATTTATAGCAGGACTTTTTACTTTACAATTGATCCCTGTCTCTTTAATAGTTTTTCTTTCTTGTTATTATGAAGCAATCATGCATGATTTTGTTCCTTTTTTCAGTTTCAAGTATGTTATATGTAGGTAATTAGTATATATGAATGTAGGTAATTAGTATATATGTATGTTTCATGGTTGAAAGGTAAAACATGTTATTCTTGCTCTAATCTTGACCATTGATTAGAGATATAATGCCAATAGGTCATATTCACCCATATACCATTTTTCAAGTGGTCCTTGGGATTTGATGCCATGTTTTATACCAATATTCATTTGAAAAAGATGAAGGTAACGTTTTGAGAATAATCCATCTTTGGATTTACTAGACTTGTTCTCAACTTTTATTTGTTTTAAAGGAGAAATTTATTCTCCCTCTAACTTTGGTGAACGTACATGTTTATATAAAAACAAATTTCGTGCCTTATGGTGATGTGTTTATGAAAAACTCAAGATCATTTGGATGAATCCTTGCCGTTTTTAGAGGCAAATTTCGTGCTTTTGGTGAATGTTGTATCCTTACAGAAGAGTGATCCTCAGAGGAATCCTTGCTGTCCTTAGAGTCAATATGAATGCTGGATCCTTAAAGAGGAATCCTTGCCGCCTTAGAGGCAATATAAATGTTGAATTTTCAAAGATAAATCATTGCCACCCTTAGAGTCAATATAAATGTTGGATCCTTGAAGAGGAATCTTTGTCGTCTTTAGAGGTAATATGAATGTTGGATCCTCAAAGAGGAATCCATGTCTCTTTTGGAGGAAATATGAATGTTAGATCTTTAAAGAGGTTCTTTGTCATCCTTAGAAATATGAATGCTGAATCCTCAAAGAGAAATTCTTGGCGCCCTTAAAGACTATGAATGTTGGATCCTAAAAGATGGATTCTTACCGCTCTTAGAGACAATATGAATCTTTGATCTTCAAAGAGGAATCCTTGCTTCTCTTAGAGGCAATATGAATCGTGGATCTTAAAAAAGGAATCATTGTTGCCCTTAGAGGAAAAATTATGATGAATCTTTAAAGAGGAATCCTTATTGTCCTTAGAGGCAATATGAATGTCGGATGCTCAAAGGGGAATTTTTGTTGCCCTTAGAGGCAATTTGAATGTTCGATCCTAAAAAAGAAATTCTTGCCGCTCTTAAAGGAAACATGAACGTGGGATCCTCAAAGAGGAATCTTTTTCGCCTTTAGAGGTGATATGACTGCTAGAACCCCACTAGAGAATTCTCTCCTAAAGAAAATCAAGTAACACTTGATGGACTCGCCCTTTAAAGCAACAGTTGAGGGATTTAGCTACGAACAAGGGTCCAAAAGTTGGAAAAGTATGCCTTTAAGAAGACTTGCTAGAGAGACTCTATTATATAACTCTTGCATGAGGGACTTGACTATTTAAGTGCCGTATGAGGGGACTCAACTATAAGGGTGGTAAAGCGGGTGATCTGTCTTGTTTAAGCCTGTTCAAACGTGGGGCGAGGCGGACTAACTCAGACTTCTGAGTTCTAAAATCAAATCTGAATTGTTTACTAACGAGTTGGTTGGTTGATCCGCCATTTCATTATTTAAAAATAATTTACTAATTTATTTATAGCGCTTCGAATTGAAGAAGGATTCAAATTCAAATGAATTGATCTTATCTGAAAGGACGCATGAAAGTTTGACAATTCGAAGAAGCATGCAAGACTCGAACGTGACACTTTTGTAGAAAAAGACCGTTAGGGTCGAATTAGTATAAATTAGGATCTTTATATTAGGATTCAATGTGTTTATTTTTGTATAAATCACTCCTACGAACTCGAAGTATCAATGTTAGATAAAAGAGTAATTGAGAATGTACGTATAGAAACATCAATTTATAATCAAAGTCATTTATATTTAAATCAAGTTTTTTACTTTTCGTTTAAGTTTAAGTCAAATTAATTACATTTCAGTTTTACTTTAAAACCTTTTATGCCTTTATCTTCAAGCCTCTGTCTTCACTTTTACCTTCGTTGTATTTATCTTTTTGACATAGAATAAATATTCAGAAACACTAGTAAAACAACTGTAGACACATGTCCTATGATCAATCTAGTCGATCATGCGAGTAACTAACAAATTATCTTTGTTTTGGAAGATCATCGGTTGTTTATCAAATTTCATGGTAAACAGTCTCTCAACTGTTTATAAAACGTGGAAAATGAAGCATCATTGGGCACCAACAAGGGAAAATTTCGGTCAAAGAGCGAAATCAGGTCCCCCACGATCCTAAGAGAGAAATGACTCATGTATCTCCCACTTATTGGGTCTAAAAACCCAGGACCAAGAGGTCTATATAAACATTTCATCCTTGGAGTTGAAAGAAGATATAAACATTTCATCCAAAAAACACATATACAAGGTTTCTCACCACTCTGCGCGAGAGAGCTCGAAACACCACTAATATCACTAAACATCACTGTAGCGGTGAAAAATTGAGACCAAGCCATTGATTGATTTGACTCATACAGTAAAAGTCGCCATCGCACTTTATTATTTATAAGAATGGAAAAAATGCGAATAAAAATTCAAAGTAAACATGCAAAGTAAAAGCAACATTAAAAGTAAAATAAAAATAATGCATTTAAAAAGATCTAAGGTACGAGGGTTTATTATATAAAGGGAATGTACTATCATCCTATGTATCTACAATACTCTATAGGAATCTCTTGAAATATCTGTGTATTTTTGTTAAAATTGGATGTTTGTTAAAAGATTGGAGTTTTAAAGATCAAGTATAAAACAAACACGGACAAATGAAATAACTCACATACAAGTCGAGACTAAAACATGACAAGGTAGTCAAAGGAAGCAAATGAATCATCAAGCATACAAGTCAAGATTAAAATATGATAAAATAGTCAACCAATGCAATTCATTCTCTTAGATTTAATCATAAGCAAGCATAATAAGATAAATATCAAAATATAAGCACTCAAAGATCTACGAGAAGGAAAATCACAAAGAAATAAATCTGAATAAACAAAGAAATAATGACAAAAAATAAACCATGACAAATTTAATTTAAAAGGCAAATGAAATTAAATATAAAAGAAAAGAAATGACAACTAAACAATAAGCTGAAAATTGTTAACTAAACTAAAAACAAAATATTAATATACGCATAGGTTACTAAATTAATTCCAAATTGAGCTAATTAATTTCTAAAAGAAAAAAAAAATATTTTTGGTGTTTTTATATTTTTAATCTTTTTGGATTTGATTAAGAATTTTTTTTTGTCTTTTTAATTAGTGATTATGTACAAGTTTGCTAATCTAACTAATCTAAATATCATAATAAAGCTAAAATATCCTAATAAGATGCAAAGACTATTTTTGTGAAAGTAATGAAAGTAATGATTATGATATCAATCAAATTCTAAGAAATACGCACACTGCTCATTGCATAGCTTATTTAGTGTGTGATGATTAAACATAACCAAGAGTTACACACATTAATCAATACATCTAACTAGTGACACATTTAATATCCTTAGAGTTCTGGAAACCAAAATATTTCCATCTAAACAAAGACATTTCTGACCGAAACATCTTATGATTACCGAAATTCTGAAAGAATTAGCAGTAATAGGATTTAAAGAGAATAGAAACATTACTCATAGAAGTCTGATAGATTGTTAGTTGATTCTTTAGACAATCTTCAGAGTTCAAACTATTCAGAAGATGAGCTGGCATAAGCAAAATCATTGAAGCTCAGAAGCATTTCTCTAAAAGATTTAAAGTTTGGTCTTGTTCTGACAATAACATCTTGGATTATACGAATTTCAGAGTCAATAATCTTTCTTTTCTGGTTGCTTTTGACACTGTTCATGTTTCCAAATTTAAGTTTTAAATCTTAGAACATATGCCTTTCACCCGTCATGTGTCGCGAGCATCCACTGTCCAGGTACCATGACTGATGTTTCAGTGGCGCCATTAAGTAGATCTGTAATATATATTATTTGATCCTTAGGTACCCACTTTATGGGTCCTCTTTTGTTAGAAGTTCCAGAAGTTATGACCCCTTTGGACTTTTGTGGAACTGAATAATCATGATACTTCGGTTTAAAGATTTTCTTCTGTGTATGTGTTCATGCTACATAAGTATCAAAATCTTCTTGTTCTGGACATTTCAAATTTGTGTCAGCAAGCACAAAATGTTCAGAAAGAGGTTTTGGTTTGATATCCAGAGTTTCATCAATTTTCTTTGATAGTCCTGAATACCTCAAGTCTCTGCTTCTATTTCTACTACCACCATAGATCATTGAAACCATATTGCTTTTATTTATGCTTTTAGCAAGGAAGTGTTGAAAATCTTTATCATATCTGATTACTTCGTCAGTAACAAATGTGTTAGAGAGAATCTCTTCTTCTAATATATACACTTTAC